TCTCAAGAGGGAGCCAGGTAGAATCTGGACTGCCTTTCTAACCTAGGTTTGGAAGTTACATGGTGTCACATCTGCTAGAGTGTCTGTCACAGCAGTAATACAGGCCCACCCCACCAATTTCAAGGGGAAATAGACTCCACCTCTTTTTTTTTTCTTTTTTTTTTTTGCGGGGGGGTGGTAGAGATGGGGTCTCGGGGGTCTCCTTATGACGCTCAGGCTGGTTTTAAACTCCTGAGCTCAAGCAGTCCTCCCTCCTCAGCCTCTCAAAGTGCTGGGATTACAGCATGAGCCTCTGAACCTGGCCTGGACTGTACCTCCTGACAAGAGAGTAGCAAGGTTCTGGAAATACTGTGACTAGTTTTTGGAATCACAATCTGGCACAGCTCATCAGCTTTCCATTTTGGAATCAGCAAACAAGAGGAAAGGAAATAATCCCCAATACTAGGCTCATCATTCTGGGGTTTTTTTTTTTTTTTTCTTTGTCTTCTGGTTTTTTTTTTTTTTTTTTTTTTGGTCTCGTCTTGGCCCCACAATTCTTCACTGCCCTGGTAGCTCTTTGATGCCTTTAAAAAATGTTTTCCCAGCTTTTCAAGTTCTCAGTGAAAAAGGATTGCTACCAAACAACACAGTTTTCCTCTCTGGAAAGGGAGGCTTGGCCAGTGCTTTTAGAATGTACACAATATAAAACCCACATCCCCAAAGTAACATACAGTATATTTACTCATAGACTATGTAAACATTAAACACTATACACATGAAGTTTTAGAAATATGTAAGAAATAACTTTTAACAATGATGAAAAATGTATATAAACAGTGATTTCAACTTTATAAAAGGTGTGTGTGCATGTAGAGAAGCATTGGAATTGTCTATGGGGAGAGTTGCTTCAAAGTTAAAGGCAGTTTTGTATACTTTTTTGTAAAGTTAGTCACTGATATGCCCCCCACCTCCACAGTTTATTATAAAAACTTTCAAACATACAGCCAGGTAGAAATAATTTTACAGTGAACATTTGTATAACTACCACATAGATTCTACATTAGCATCTTACTATATCACACATCTGTTCATCTATCCATTCCTGTATGTCAATCTATCGTATTTTTCATATATTTCAAAGTAAGTTGCAGCATCAGTACACCTCCCCCTAAATACTTCAGAATGCATTTCAATAACTAGAGTTCATTTTCAGTTTGCAATTTTTTTTTTCTTTTCAGGCACAATCTACATACAATGCCATCCACAGATGTTAAATGTAATTTTCTGAGTTTTGACAGATACATAAGTCTATAAATGGTGACATTTAAAAACCAGAACTGAGATTTTCTTTTTTCAAATCCTTACTTGCTCAATTGAAATCAGTGTGAGATGCCTTCTGCCCTGAGCAGTTTGTACAGCAGGCCTATGCCTACAGGGGTGGGCAGGGCCAAGTTTTGTCCAATGTGTGGGGCTAGGATTGGGGCTAGGACTAGGACTGTGTAGCTGGAGGCAAAGAATCTGGAAACATTTCTTCTCCTTATATCACTGGTAGCCAGTGCAGGGAGAATCAGGGCAAAGGCCGGGCGTAGTGGCTCATCCCTGTAATTCCAGCACTTTGGGAGGCTTAGGTGGGTGGATCACCTGGGGTGAGGCGTTTGAGACCAGCCTGGCCAACACGGTGAAACCCTGTCTCTAGTAAAAATGCAAAAAAAATTAGCTGGGGGTGGTGGCGGGCCCTGTAATCCAGCTACTCGGAAGGCCGAGGCAGGAGAATTGCTTGATTGCTTGAACCCAGGAGGCGGAGGTTGCAGTGAGCTGAGATGGCGCCATTTCTCTCCAGCCTGGGCAACAAGAGGGAAACTTCGTCTTAAAAAAAAAAAAAAGAAAGAATCAGGGCGAAGGCTCCTACAACTCACCTTCTCAGGGTAAGGGGCTGTATGTCCTGTCTCTTTTAGATACAAAGTTTGAGTAAAAGACTGTTAGGGTTGAATAGTGGCCTGCAAAGGGACTTGGCTCTCATTTACTTCACCTTTCTATCTTATTGCCTTGCTTTACTTTCATTTCAGCATTTAGGAAATTTTCCTGTTCATTTGTTTGTCTGTGTGCCTATCCAGAATGTAAGCTCCTGAGAGCAGAGGCCTCTTCTGTCCCCTTCTGTCTTATTCCCTGCTGTGTCCAGCACATGGTCTGCACTCAATAAGTATTTGTTGTGAGAATGACTCATTGTTCCATTTACTAGAAGGGGAAAGGAGGCCCCGAGAGGGGAAGTGACTTGCCTAAAGAAACAGGAGTCCTTTCCCCCCATCCTCCAGCTCTCCTGGTCCTCTCCTTTGCTCATAAACCCTGTGACTATTGGGGTACCTGTGGGGTGGCTGAGAAATGCCTACCTGTAGGTATGTGCTCCTATGGGCTGGGACTAATGCAGGACTAGGAGGAGGAGGGTTCTGCAGTTCCCCATTTGGGTAGGCTTGGGCACAGGAAACTGCTTCCCCTCCCTTCCTCAGTTCTCTTCTCTCCCAGGATAACCCTTTACTCTGTGATGATGATGGGTGAGGGAGCTCAGGACACTCTGGGAGCCAAGTAGGATGGAGGGCTGGGCAGGTCTCTACAGGCAGGCAGTTGAGGAGGGGGCTCTCTCTTCTTCCAATGGAAACAGCATCTGTGTGGTTGCTGAGCTGAACCCTCCTTCCCAGAGGGTCTCCAGGGTCTAATTCTGTCACCCCTGTGCACACACCACAAATGCTTTGACCATAGTGCAGCTGTCTCATGGGGAGAAAGGACTTTCATTTCCTGAGAATGGGTTACTTGCCAAGCTGAACATGCCTAATTCTCAATACAGCCCTGGGAAGTTCCAGGAAGAGTTGCAGAGGGAGGCTCAGGTCACCCAGCACATGGTGGGGCTGGAGACTTGGGCTCTCTGACTACCAAGCCCGACAACAATTTTCCCAAGTGTGGTTATATCCAAATGGGGTCCTTCAGATAGTCTCAAAAATGAACACTTACTGCAATCACTATTTCAATTATATTGAAAATATAAGTAGCATGTCAACCCCTTCTAGGGTAACACAAACTACAAGTAAAAAACTGATCAACAGGCCGGGCGCGGTGGCTCACGCCTGTAATCCCAGCACTTTGGGAGGCCGAGGCGGGCGGATCACAAGGTCAGGAGATCGAGACCATGGTGAAACCCCCGTCTCTACTAAAAAACACAAAAAACGAGCCGGGCACGGTGGCGGGCGCATGTAGTTCCAGCTACTCGGGAGGCTGAGGCAGGAGAATGGCGTGAACCCAGGAGGCGGAGCTTGCAGTGAGCCAGGATCGCGCCACTGGCACTCCAGCTTGGCGACAGACAGAGCGAGCACACTCGCTCTCAAAAAAAAAAAAAAAAAAAAAAAAAAAAAAAAAACTGATCAACAAAAAGAAACATATTAAGAAATAATAGTGTAAATTAGATATAAGACAAAAGTAAGCCGGTGGAATTTGGTTCTAGAGCATAGGGCTGCCATCCTAGCTAGTGGGGTACTTCCTGCGCTTGCAGTCATTACTTGTTAGGGGTTTTCACACTTTGACTTCCAGCTTTTCACTTTTCCATTCGGTGTCGGGGTATAGATTGAGTTTGGACTTCCTGAGAAACGTGAATGCTGGGTGTGGAAAGGATCCACCCTCACTGGGGTCTGACTGTTAGGAGACTAGGCGTGTGGACTCTGGGCCTTTGGGCTGGAGTGTCTCTTGGTCAGAGTTGTCTTGCGTTCGGCCATTTCACCCACACCTCTAGGCTGGTCCTGCTGAGAGGGAGAGAGAGTGTCACAACTCCCACTCAAGGAGAGACTTCCCTGCTGGGGAGGGGATAGCCTGAGGCCCGCCCCACCCATATTCCCAGGCCATGGCTCTGGTTAGCATGGACTAAATTATTCCACAATACGGAGGAGTGGGGCACAGAGTCCTAAACTGGCCTGGGTTGTGTGAGGGGGCCTCAGGGGCTGCCGGTCTGGAGGAGAGACTCACTGCCACCTACCGCGGGAACCGCAGACCCTGGGTCGGGGATGAAGCGTCCCCTACCGGCAAGCTCGGTTTGCGCGCTGCTGTGCAAATCTGTCTATTGCCTGCAGACGCCCAGCCGCTCGCCCTGCGCGCCCAGTGGCCCCTACTTGGGAAATCCGGCGAAATGTCGCATTTGCTACCACCTATCACGACTGCGTAATCGGCTTTCAGCCGCAGACGCTCAAGTCCTGCAGCAGCCGCGGGGATCCGCGTAGGAACCTGCTGCCACTGGATGCACTGAGCGATTGCTTTGGGGGTGCCACGCGCCAGACGCGGTGCCGGGAGCGCCGGGAAAGGGGTACGCGCCCCAACCCCGGCCCGGGGAGGGCGCACTCTGGCTCTTCTCTGAGTTTTGCGCTTCCCCTGCCCCGTCAGGCCTATCGCAAAAGGCACCCCCATCGCAGACCACCACGTGTTGTGCTTCTACTCAGCTCGGTGGCGATCAGGGCCCTAGCATGCGCATCTGGAAAGCCGCGGAGATTACCCTGGAGCTCGGGTGGGGACGGCGTGGGCTGACTTGATGTAAGATGACACCCACGGAGCCAGACCCGTTCTAGGGACTTGACAGGTTCCTCTCCCTCCCCAGTGAGACTCGTCGTTCAACCTGCAGCAATTAGGGGAGGGAAAAAAAGACCCACAGTATCACGTTTGGAGAGGATTAGGAAGATGGCTCTCGAGTTCCATGCCGCCCTGGTGGCTAGACATTGGTGTAGTTTGTCCCTGGCCTCGGTTTCCTCATCTGTAAACTGGGAAGAAGGCCCAAGTCCTGGGGCCTGTGACTGTAGAGTGGCGGAAGGCACTGGTGCACCCGCGGCCAGTCCTTCCGGGATCCAGCTTCCCGAAGGATTGGGCGGCCCCGGGGCGAACCCCTCCCGAGCTATCTGGAGACCGTGGAACCGGGTTCGGGGCCCCAGCCAGTGAGCTTCCAGCGGTGCACAAGGGCGGGGCCCGCGCGGGCGGGAGACGCCCGTTCGCTGTCGGCCAACCAGCGCCTGTCTCTGAACAGCCAATGAACACGCGTCTTACAGCCAAGGCCAGGTCGGGAGCGAGGCTGCGGCGAGTGCGGCGCTGACAGAGACGCGCGCGCGCGCGATCGCGCGGGGACCCCGGCCGCTGCCGCCATCACCGCCGCCCGCCCAGTCTCCCCTCAGCCGCTTCCCCTCGCCATGGAGGCGAGGCCGCCGCCGCCGCCGCGGGGCTCGGAGCCGCGGGCCGGGCGGCGGCCCTGAGGGCGAGTGGCGGCCCGAAACGCCGCCGCGGAGCCGAGGCGGAGCCGCTCTCCTCGTCCCCAGCGGTCCCGCCCAACGCCAGACTCTGTGAGTGTTCGCGGCCGCTGCGCCCGGGTGGGCTTCGGAAGGGGGGGCGGCTCCCGGGGGCGGTGGGAGTGGTCCCGGGCCCGAGCCAGGAGCCCGGAGCCCGGAGCCCGGAACCCGGAGCCCTCAGCCCTCAGCCTTCAGCCCTCAGCCCTCTTTTCCGGGTGGAAGCCTGCGGGCGCCTGCAATTTGATTGTGCATCCTTGCGGGTCCGTCGTGGGGAGGGGATCCCCGGAAACATGCCGGCCCGGGCACCGACCCCTCGCGACTGCCCAGGAACTTTGCGTGCGTCCTCCTGGGACCAGGCCAGGGCACTGCCAGAGTTCATTCTCAGAGAAGAAACTTAGAATGGCGAGAACAGAATTTGCTCAAGTCCATTTAATGGGAGGAAAGAGGAAAACTCCTGGCATGAGAAAATTTGCTTTTGCAGTGACCAACTTTTCTTTCCCTTCAAGTCCACCTCCCTCGGTCCCCCGGCCGGTCTCCCAGGCCCCTCTCCTTGCCGCCCTCTCCCAACTGTTGAGGCTATTTAAGAAGGGAAATAAGGGCTGAGAGCTGCCCAGAATTCAGAATAGGCCAATTGAGAACGCAGGTCCCCTCCATTTTTACTTTCGGTAAATAAAAAAAAAAATTTGAAAAAATTAGTTCCTGATTATATCTCCTGAAGATTAAAAAAAAAAAAAATAGCAGAGCTGAGTCCTGTCTTGAGGGTTTTGTTTTTATTTTTGAGATCTCTGATGATATTTGTAAGACAGGAAAGGAAGATGTGCAGATCCACCCTCTGCAGGGTGAACACCATCAGAAGCTTTTGCCCAGGAGAGGAATTCCGGCTCTAGAACCAGTCACATCACCCCGGAGACGGCTTCGTTTGCCACCTGCTAGCTGTGCAGGCAGCCCGAGAAACAGAAGATGGTGGGCGAGAGGAGGACTGACTAGGAAAGGGCGAACATCTTCCTGCCTGGCCACTCCTTTCAGAAACACAGATCTGATGCTGTCACTTGTTTACTTAAAAACTCCCTCGCTTTTCTTTTTCCCATGGGATGAATGAAGCCTAAAATGCCTTATCAGGTCATACAAAGCCCTTGACAATCTTGCCTCAGTTTACTCCTTTTAGATTAATCTAATCCTTCAATTCTCCTTCCCCTCATCCCCCTTGCTGACTATTATTCAGAGCTGCTTGACTGCTCCATCACATGTTGGGATGTTTTTGTTTTATGTGATCCTCTTTCTTCCCCACCTTTACCTGCCAAGCTCCACTTTTTCTTTTAAAGTTCTTCTCATTTGAGAAGCTTCTTGTGGGCAGGAGCTGTGTCTTGCCCACCTTTCTGTCTCCCATGCTGGGAGAATTCTTCCTCCAAGTTGTCTTGTAGATTCTTTCCAGTCTCTTCTCTTATGCCCAGGCTCTGTTTATTTCCCGGTATCCACTTCCCAAGAGATTTTTTCGTGTTTTAAAGGCCTGCTTCGAGTACATGCCCAGGACTTTTAGTATTTCTGCTTCCACACTTCTGCATGTCCATCCCACCCAGGCCCTATAAGCAGTCAGCAGGTGGGAACTGGTAGGTCCCATATCCCACTGGCCTCCAAAAAACTGTGTCTGAAAGACTAAAAGCCGTTCAGTCTCTTTTCACCTCTACCTGCTCAAAGCGGCCTGGCTGATAACGTGCATTGTAAGGCATGGTGGGATCCGGGGGGCTGTTCTCTGTTTAGCTACTTAACATCTGGGTGAAATACAGAACCAGAAAAACCAATCCTCTGGCTTAAGTACTTTCATGTGCCTTCATTTTGTCAGATGAATTGTTTGGGATACAATAGTGAAGAAGTCAGTCCTTACCTTTGAGGAGCTCAGAGTCTAATGTAGGACAGGTGGATATAAATACATCACAGGTGCTATAAGATTGTAATAATAATAGCTATGTTTTATTTGCCTTGTGACAAGCTATGTAATAAATGTTTTCCATGAATTCCCTCAGTCTTTTCAAGTCATAAAAGGGATTATTCCTACTCTACAGGGTTGGAAACTGAGGCCAAACAGTGGGCAAATGAGGGAATAGTCAAGATTTGAATTTTGGCAATGTATTTCCAGAGCCTCTGCCAGGCTGTGCAGGGAGCATCCCCTGCCTGGGTGATTTGGGAAAGCTTTCCTGGGACAGGGGGTTCTTCAGATCATGAAAGATGCATAGGACTTTTTCCATGGTGGACTGCACACATAGGCAAGAGGGAGCAGCACAAGCAGACTTGGTGGTGGAAGGAATCCACTGTCCTTGGGGAGGAGGGAAGAGGTTAATCATAGCTGGATCAGGTAGCTGGAGAGCTACTAGAGGATTTAAAGGAGGCCAGGGACTTGGGCTGAAAGAGTTTTGGAAAGATCATTTGGGGGCATTATAGGACCAAATGCAGATGTTCCTGCAATGTAGGAGGCACTGGTCAGGTCTGACAGAGGTAGAATCACAGCCTCTTAGATCCAGAGGAAGGTGTAGAGAGAATCCTGCTCCATTTTGGGAAAATATAATTAATGCAGATGAGAGAAAAATTCAAAAGTTCTAGCAATACAAAAGAGTATATGGAGAAGAATGTCCCTCCTACCCTGGCCCCAAGTCTCCTGTCTCCCTGACCTCCTCCCCAGAGATGGCTGAAATTTTCAGTTTACATGGCCTTCCGTAGACACTGTTCCTTTATAAATGTGTGCCTGCTTGTCCATACTCCTCCCACCATGGGACGTACCACTCACACCTTACTGGGTTTTTTTTACTTAACATATTTAGGAAATCATTCTATTATCAATATATAAAGAGAGTTATTTGTTCTTCCTGTTGACATTCTTTTACTTGTTTAATTGTATGGCTGTACTGTAACATCTTTGGGTTAAATATTTGTTTCCAGGTTCTTATATTACAGCAATACAATGAATGTCCTTGTACATACTGTGTTATGTGCTCATTTGCAAAGTTATCTGAACAATATGCTTTTAGAAGTGGAATTACTGGGTTAAGGGGTATGTCTGCATTTTTGATTTGCAGACATAGAGCCAAACTGTCACCTGTTTTCAGGCTGTTGTACCAACAGCCTGTTGTATCCTCTGCCCCAAAATGTGTGGCTGGGTAGATGATCTTCAGAGAGTTCAGGAGGATCAACTATGATGCTTTTTCAGCTATTATATGCTTACTTTTCCTCCACAAATCCTCCCCCTACCCTATGCGATTCTAGCCAGTTTATTCGAATCTACAGAGGGAGATGTTGAGGCTCAGAAGGATAAAAGTAACTTGTGCAAGATGATCAGTGTGGTTGGTGGTGGGTTTTTTGCTTTGCATTTTTGCACCCCGCATGTTTGTATTTGCCAACACCTTTCATTGGAGGTGCTCAGTGTCAGCTTGTAAACATTATTGCATTGTTTTTCTCCGTTTTCACATGGAAAAAAATGAGATGCAGGTGAAGTTTGAGTTATGAGAGGGAAACTGGCCAAATATAGAATCTTGTCATTTTACTTTCCAGTGCAATAACTAATAAATGTTTCCAAATGCCAAAGCTGAAGAAATGTTTTTTGTTTGTTTGTTTGTTTTTTGAGATGGAGTTTTGCTCTTGTTGGCCAGGCTGGAGTGCAATGTCGCTGTCTTGGCTCACGCAACCTCTGCCTCCCGGGTTCAAGCGTTTCTCCTGAGCCTCCTGAGTAGCTGGGATTATAGGCATGTGCCACCACGCCTGGATAATTTTGTATTTTTAGTAAAGACGAGTTTTCTCCATGTTGGTGAGGCTGGTCTTGAACTCCTGACCTCAGGTGATCTGCCTGCCTTGGCCTCCCAAAATGCTGGGATTATAGGCGTGAGCCACCGTGCCCGGTGAAGAAATGGTTTTTTAGTGAGTCTGAGTACAACAAAAATAGCAATAATATAACACTAACTTAATAAAATTGAACAGCAAGCCCAAAAATAGCCCAACATTAAAATTTATTTTAATGTATTCCCTATAGAAAAGAGAATCCATTAAATATAAAACTATATTTATTTTACTCTAAATTCACATCCATTTGTGTCAGTGTACAAGACATAGTTTTTATAGTAGCAGTCAGTACATACAGAATATGATTTTATGATTTTTGAATTCTTGAATAGCATAAAATATTTTATATTTACTCATTTAAGTATTTGTTCATTTAAAATCAGACTGGGTACGGTGGCTCACGCCTGTAAATCCCAGCACTTTGGGAGGCCAAGGAGGGCGGATCACGAGGTCAAGAAATCAAGACCATCTTGGCCAACATGGTGAAACCCCATCTCTACTGAAAATACAAAAATTAGCTGGGTGTGGTGGCACGTGCCTGTAATCCCAGCTACTCGGGAGGCTAAGGCATGAGGATCACTTGAACCCAAGAGACGGAGGTTGCAGTGAGCCAAGATCTTGCCACTGCATTCCAGCCTGGTGACAGAGTGAGACTCCATCTCAAAAAAAAAAAAAAAAATCACAGTATAGTATTCCATTCATTGACAACTGTAGTTTTTTTAATTTGTTTGTTTGTTTTTGAGACAAGGTCTCACTCTGCCACCCAGGCTGGAGTGCAGTGGCATGATCACAGCTCACTGCAACCTTGATCTCCTGGGCTAAATGATCTTCCCATCTCAGCCACCCAAATAGCTGGGACTGCACAGGTCTGTGCCACCACAACCAGCTGATTTTTTAATTTTTTGTAGAGACATTCTCATGTTGCCCAGGCTGGTCTTGAACTCCTGGACTCAAGTGATCCACCCACCTTGGCCTCCCAAAGTGCTGGAATTATAGGTGTGAGCCACCATTCTCAGCCAACAGCTGTAGTTGGTGCAATCCTTTTTATTCTTTTATTTTTTCTACCTTTTTACTATTATAAATGGTACTTTTATACCTCTTATTCAAATACTTCTTTTGAATTATTTTCTTGTACTCTTACTCCCAGCCTGGGCTCACCAAGTCAGAGGATACAGTTTCAGTGCCTAATTGCAATCTGGAAAGGTTGAACTAGTTTCCAACACTATCAG